TGAGGCGCCTAGAGGGATTCCCAGGATCAATTCTGGCAGCGAGGATCTCTACGCTGAGGTCATAGGTGAATTTTCGGCGGGCAGTTTGGTAGAGGATCCAGACCGTGAGGCATTTCAGTCACCATGTGTCGATGGCAAGAACTCTCGTATTGTCGCTGGCTTTGCTCACGTTTTCCCAAATTACTCGACCTACCTTGCGAAACCAGGCTTGTATATGGAGGCTCTTCATATCAGGAAACCTTACAGAAGGATGGGATTGGGCACGATGTTTCTCAAGAAAATTGCCAAGGAGGCTGTGAAGCTAGGGATGGAGAGGATAGAATGGTGTTTGCTGCATTCCAACCAGCCTGCCATTAATTTTTATGAAGGCAACGGTGGAAGGATCAAACCTGGGTTTCGGAAGTGTGCCATCGATGGCGAAGCCTTCAACAGTTGCGAACCATAGCGTCAAGATCACCTCTTGCATCGAAAATAAAAGGCACTTGAAGTCGTCGTCGTTAGAGAAAGATTTTAGAAAATGCTTCCTGAAACTTTTCTTTGTGGATGCTTGAGCTGTTTTCCTTGTAAAGCATTATTTGAAGATTGTTTTTCAGAGTTTTTGCAATTAGAGTGCCAGGACAGCTAGCATGCGTCTCATGCATTGTTGGCTTTTGGAATTGGTAGTTGTAGATAGTAAATTGATTCTCTTTTAGAGTTAGTGTTCACTTCGCTACAGATTAGTTACATAAGTTTCATTGGTCAACACTCCGTCAGCGATGAATAGATTAATATTTTTTTGCTTTAGTTAAGTGAGTGCTTCGGCACATCTTTACTCGCAACGTTCCAATTGTTGGCAAAACTTCGATAAACACCGTGATATCCGTTTCGTTATCCTTTTTGTTAATGAATAGCTGTTTTGCATCTACGTATTGTGGGTCTTTTCCTGAACAAGTGATATCAGTGACGTCGAGAAGCACCATCTGCAATCCTGTTTAGAAAGCGGGTGAGGGAACCGGTTTCTCTGCAATTAATCCAGTTTGTTTGTGCTAAAACATCAACAAATAGATCGATAAGCAAACCAGAACCTGTTTCTTTCCAAGATGTGGTTTCTCTGCAGTTGATGTGTTAGAGCACCCTGAATCTTGCTGCAAAAAATATGCTGTATTAAACACATTGTTTCTCATCAAATATCTGATTAAAAAAAAAAGTACATGTATACTTTGAGGATCATTATTCTTATTGAGATATTATTAATATTGATAGATAACATCAAAGAAAAGCTTCAATAGTGAAAGTTTCATAGTAAATGTATTAAAATTTTACCATAATTGTTTTAATGATAAGTGAATGTTGATTTAAACTTTTATTATTGCCAACTAAATTTATTTGGTTTTTTTGTAATTATACAAATATATATATATATATATTGAATGAAGTTTAGATAAGAAAGTAGATCCAAATATTATTATATAAGTAAAAAAATCTCATCTAAAAATAAAGAAATTAATTCTTTTCCCACAATCAAACCACCAACATTTTTCTATACATTAGCTCTTTTTACTCTTCATATCCAACAAGTTTAAATAATTAAATAATTATATATAATGAATCAAATAATTATATATATATATATATAAATACCTTCATAATAATAAATAATAAATTGAAATTTTTCTAAAACTTGATACAAAATTATGATTTGTTTATCAATTTGAAGATAAAATAAATAAACTATCAATTATATAAGAATATCAAAAGATATATTATAATTTTCTTAAATAGAATCTTTAGTAAATATAAAATCTACTGAAAATCCATGATAATAATGGATATAAAAAAAATTGGTTACTTTTTTACTTATGATAGTTCTTAGTTCTTATTTTAAGATTTTTTTAAAATTTCCTCAAAAAGAATAATTATCTAAATAAGTCTTCATAAATAACATACATAATATAAAATATCTTTTAACAACTAAACATAAACAAGAATATCTATTCTATCTTATATACATGTTAAATACGTTATACTTTTATTGAACTTTATCTAGTCCTTATAATCAAACTTCTTTATGAATATATTTATTATTTAAATATCACTCAATTTGTATACTTCAATACATTATATGGTGAGATTATAATTTGTAATTGCACATCTTATGGTATAGTTTGATCGACTGTCAAATATTCCATGAGATATTTCTGTAGAACTCTTCTATCTCTCCACTTATTAAAGATCCATTTGTAATTATTACAAATACAACTGTCTAAATTATATAGATTGGATACGAAGTCCAATCATTTCATTTGTAAATAACTTCTATTACATTCTCGTGTTTGCACTTGTCACTATGCACTGAAGCAACTATAATCGCGTTCTGGAGTTCACACTAACTTTATATATACTCATCTTCAGTTCTCATGTTATGGATTTCACTCCAACTCCTACCAGTGCATCTTCAACCAAATGGGAATCTCGAAAGAACATTTTCATTACATCGTTCTTTACATTTGCTTTTAAACGAACTTTCACATCGACTATGAGGGACATATGGAATTGTGTGATCATGCAATACAAGTATTCACTTCATTTCCATGCAGACTTCACATCAAAGGTCGGCGAGTGCTCCGTAGTGAAATAATGCAGACAAACAAAAATCATGCCATGTATCCACACGCAGTCGAAATAAAGCCATCCATGAGCATCGTGCTGGAACGAAAGGTTCCTCCGCATACCCGTGTTCGGAGCCCACATGCATGACACTACTTCCATTGCAAAACTCACTGCCAGGCATATCAAAACCTCACCTTCTTCTTCTGGACCTGATCCTTGCTGCCAGGAGTTCGCACTGCGTTTGTCTGTGGCTGCCCCGACAATGCCATGGATTTCTACACTTCCACCCTCCCTCTATCCACACCACTACCAAGTTCTCATCACTCAAACACATTCCTACCTCTCCGCGGCTACCCACCTGTGTATGCACATCTCACATCTGCCAGAACTAAGCGATCGCCAACTCCCACCGCACTGCACAGCAACAGTACGCACTCCACTGTGAAAGCACATCCACGCTCCAACGACACAATAAAACCAACCACAGCAACGATCGCATCGCGCTGCTCTGCTTCTCATTTATTGGAAACAAAGAATGCTTAACATGAATACCAATCTTCACCCCACCCATCTCCAAATAATTATCTTCCTATCTAACCAATCGTTCCACCCTTCCCACGTACCCATCACCTTCACCTACGCCCACCCTACTCTACACATACGGCAGCCACTGCTTGGCGTCGATGAATCCGTAATCCAAAAACGGCTTCGCCTGTGCGGCGCTCAGAACCTTCGACCACGGCGCGCGACCTTTCCTGTTCGCTCCGGGACCCGTGCACGCATACTCGGCGTAGAATACCGTCTTCTGCCTCCTCTTATCATCCCAGTCCTGCCACCCGATCGGACGGATTATGTTCGCCATGTTGCACCTGCAGAACACCACGCGAGAGTGCGTCCCCCAAGCACGTCCCAGGTAGATAGACCCGCTTCCCCTGATCGTGCATTGGTCGAACACGAAACCCGTCCTCGAAAAGCTCTCCCTCTTCTGAGCTGTGATCGACCCACTCGTGCCCTTTGCGATTGACTCGATCAGACACTTCTTGTAGATCGACTGCCCATCGCCGAATACAAAATCGATAGACCCCCGAATGTAGCAATCCCTGAAGTAGTGACGTCCTTCCTTGTCGTACAACGTGTCCTGCGCTCCCAAAAATGCACATCGGTAGAATGCGCCCTGGTCTCCCTGGATCCGAAGCGCCACCGCCTGCTTCCCTACAGCGCCGCCCGGTGGAGCGGGTGCAGAGTTCGCGAACGTGCAGTCATAAGCAATGAACCCCTTCGACTCGATCGCAGTAGAAGCACTCTTCGCCGTTCCTCCCGCCTTCGCAGCTGTATCTCCCCACACCAACGTCGCTTTCCTGCTCTGGCACTGGAACGTGATAAACGGCTTCGTCTTCGGTACCAAGATCTTCTCCCTGCACCATTCCCAAACAAAAACCACGTCAACTCACCCATCACCGCCAATAACCCCAACACCATCCACTTCTCACCAGCTCTCGTCAAAATACGGGCCCATGACTTACTTGTAAACGCCGTCAGGAATGTAGATCACAATGCGCTTCGTGTTGCCCTTCGGTACCGCGTTCACAGCCTGCTGAACAGTCCTGTACGGCCCTTTCTGCTTGTTCACATAAATGGTCTTCCCCTTCGGTGCCGCCTGTGTTGTCATAGTCTCGTCGACGCCCAGAACACTTTGCTGCTGCTTCTTTTCGTACTCGACGCGGACGGATTCTAGCCACTTATCCCACGACGAATCGCTGTCGCTTCCCTGTCCGGAGAGAGTTCTGAACTCCGCTGCTGACGCGGGCTTCGCAACCGAACATACGGCGACTAAAATCACCAGTGCCGAGAAAATGCATCTTGACATGCTCCCCATTGCGGGTAGATCAGAAAGATTTCGCCAATGCACTTCGCAACGCACCACTGTGCTGATCAGACCGAAATTGTGAACCGTGATGTTGGCGCCTGTGCGAAAAATCCCTGAACTACCTCTCGGCACCCTTCGCCTGATCCCAGCGAGGAACGAGAAGTGGGAGACTTGCTGCAGTCGAGGGACCGCGAGGGGTTTTAAAGCGAGAAGACCTCACCACGGTCCATAACTGCGAGTTCGTCGCGAAAGGAGGCGGTAAACCATGTGAGAGAGCCCAAATATAGAGCTGCATACTTTTTCTGAGACATTCGTTTCACAATAGCCTCCACCAAACAAACACTTCCGTGCCAGAATATTTCGGCTCAACAATCTACCTGAGATGAAACCCAATGATAGTAACTGCGAGCTCAGATAACCTCAGGTGGCATCTCGGAATCCTTGCACTGCTTCTCAACAAAAACAGCGCTCCAGGGGTAGGATTCACCTGGGCCCACCAAGCATCGAGCGTGAGGCACTGAGATGGACCTTCGTTGGAAATGCATAGTAAAATGGGATGGTGTCATTTAACGGTTCTGAGAGCTTCGACATGATGCTTGGTGCAGGAGATTAGTTCGACATATGCCGTGGAATCACATCCTGATGAGATTTTGTGATCATGGACACAGCAAAGCACGTTGTGAATGCACCCCTGAAGTGGTCATGCTCACTGCTTTTCGACGAGTGCAGACTTCAGTGTCTTGGTTTAGAATAAAAACAAAGAGGACAGTCAATGCTAACAATCAAGCAACCCCTCCATTTGACTGTCGAATTCAATTGCATCGGCGGTTTCTCAGGGGTTCATCTCATCTTTCCGTCCACGGAGTCTCAAGTACAGAATTCAACGCCTTTCACGCGTTGTAGCTTCGATTTGCCACTTTGCACCATGCCGACGGACCGTCAGTAACTGCACCTGAGCTTCTTCGAAATTGAGTTTGCTGGTACCACTTCGGGGAAATTGGTAACTGCTAGGCGACTACAACGTCAACCTGCCGAGTCCGCGTTGCACCAGCACGAGGCGCGGTGACAAGACTGCGCCCGGTGCATTGCATATGGCAGCGAAGTGATTTTTCGGGTTGGTTCGGGGCTTGAGACTCAACTACTAATTTTAGGAACAGCTGTCTGACGAACTCATCTAGTCCAGAATTGCATCTGTTCCACGTTTTGCGCTCCAGCTGCGCACATCTAGGCACTTTCAGGTGCTGTGCTCCATCGGCGTAATCGGAAGCCAGCGTCAGGTTCCAGCTTGCAGAGGCGGCAGTCATCCTTTGCACGAGGAGCTGTTTTCGTCACTGTCGCCACCTCCGAACCATGGTGAACGTGGGGTGCCAAGTAGGAGGGGCACGATTCCACCCAGTAAATGTCCCAGCTCACG